CCTGTTCTGAAGACAGTCCCTCGTTTGAGTATGGGTTCCCATGAATTTTGGACTCCCGGTTTCATAGCAGGGGACCCACACGGCCTTTCTTTTAAGGTAGCACTTGATTGAAGCTAAACGTTCTGGGAATGTAAGTCCTTCAGCAGCCTGAAGGAATCCTGCCTGCAATTCTTTGAAAATCTATCAAAATCCAGCTACTTTCATGAATGTAGATTTCAGATTTGAACATTTCAGATTTCAAAACCTGATGCTTTTTAATTCTGTTTGTATAATTAAACCGCATTTCTGATGATGAGCACACACACCATTTGCTGAAACTTACGAGCACTAACAAGTCCCAGAAGGAGCCACATACAGTCTGCTTCAGCTAGAACCACTCTTGAAATAAGGTTGCTAATTAGATGTCCAAATACATAATGGAGTGAGTAACTTAAAATATGCAAGTTCAAAAGCAATTGCCATACTGCACATATAAGACATATCTTTAGCTTTGTGTCAAAACCTGAATGTATTACATATTACATTATGAAGGGTTTTTTTTCTTTTCTTTTTTTTCTTTTTTCTTTTTTTTCTTTTTCATTCTAAGCATTCAGAATCTGTCATGATAATCGACTTAACAGGCTAAATATTCTTGAGCACAGACACTAGAAATATTTGACCAGCTTACATATATATGTTTAGAACATGGGCACGGAGTTATTCATGTCTGTTTCCTCCAGTGCAGATTAGAAAACGTGGCCTTTCTTGGACCCCCTCTATATGCAAATGGTTTGTGGACCACAATCTTTAAAGACTGAAGGACCAAAGCTTATTAAATTAACTATTTTACTCTTAAGATGACCTTTGTGGAGCAGTATTCTGTCTCACTGGCACAGTGGTACAGTAGTGTCTTATCTATACTAATCTCCCATGACTGTAAACTGTTAAGGTGATTAACTGGAAGAGACAGTTCTTTCACCACATGTACAGAATCACTGTGAATTGGGTCATATCTGCATATGTTATGCATTTATTGGTAGTAAAATTTGGGGAAGAGAAGTAGAGTTTATAATCTTTTATACAATCTTTTTTTTTTTCCCTTTCTTTTCAGTCTACAATTTAATCAATTACATCGATTACGCCATCTAAACTTAAAATAAGAACTGTTTAAAATCCATCAACACTATAAAAATAAAACTCTACTAAAAGTTTCCAGGTAGTTCAAAATCCCATTACAGCTTGCACTTTGATACTGCAGTAAGTAGTATCCCTTCAGCTTCACAAAAGGGAGAAATGAATCTATATTTCTATTCAAGTAAGAATTTAGCTAAAACAAAAGGCACAGCAGATACAATGCTGAAATAATTATGCTTGAATTTTAAATCCAGATATGAAAGTTGTTTTAACAGATTACAAACAAATCCAATGCCTAATATCAAAAACTTAGAAATGGAGGAGACTAATCCAAAGGGAAAAATTCTTTAGTCCATCTCTTGTAAATGCTGCTATGACTCCAACATACCTACAGTCTAAAAGGACAGCTACGTATATACCCATAGGAATAAGCTATAATTTTTCACACAGTTGTATATAGCCATAGAAATGTTATAATTTCCCATTGCAATATTTTTTACTTGCCAGGTACTTTGAACATATATATACATACACACATATATGCACACACGCATACTTATATGTATGCATATTATATTTTATCAAAACCAGACATCTGAATATGCATACAATGGCTAACAGAATGTAGTTAAATAGAAGCTTCACCCACTTGCCTTGTAGCAGAAATTTTTTGAGAGAATACTATTTCCCAGTAGTAGATAATATATAATGTTTCCCACAGGAAGAAGTCACTTATCAGCTAAAATTAACACTTTTTTTTAGCTCTTCAAGGTAGAATTTAACATTTGTTGTTACTTCTCTAAAACAAACATATAGATCATAGACATAGTTTTAATTTCCAAGACTCTTCTATTCCTTGATGACTGCAAGTATTATGTAATTATAGTAACCATACATGCAACATCAACTCTGATTTAATACTAGAGTAGCTGTAGAGCACTTTTTTATTTATCAAGGTCATATCTTGATGGCTGCACAAGTTTAGATAAATCAGGTGTTAAGCAGGCACATCTCCAAGGAATCTGGAAATTCTCTCATCTGCAATCCTCAGCATATCTTATTATTTACTGCCAAAGAAATGACTGATTAATTTTGTCATCTTTGGTCTATGATTTTTGCTCAGCTGAAACTGCCTGCCCTCTTCTGCAATGCCTGATCAGACCTATTTAAGTTGATGCCTTTGATCGTAGACACTGAGGAGCTTGCTGACTTAGGCATTGACTAAACATTCCTCTACTGCAATATTTATGCACAAAATCCTAAATGATAACTGACAGTCAATGCAGATAACAAAAACTTGTAAGATGTTTCCACTATTTTACTGATGCTCAAAATAGCTTTACTTGTAATAGAGGTATCAGTCAAGATGAAAAATTGCTATTAATATAACAAAAGCCCAACAAATTTTGCTATGATGAATAGTTTACTTCACACAAACAAAGTATCTGAGGTCAGGAAAAAAAATCTGTTACTGGAAAACTATGCAGTATGATTTTTTTAAAATGCTTTAAATTCTTTCTGTAGTGTGACATCATGCTTAGTTTTGGAAGCTAGGAGCATTTTACTACCAAACTGTTCCAAACAAAATTATCAAAACAAAGCTAATAAAAAAAAACAATGAAAGTTAGGCCCTATGGAAAAAAATCTGCCTCCAGCTCTTTATTAATCACATTCCAACACCAGAGGCTAAAAGTACATCAAACTGCACCAAATCCTTTTCACATGACAGCCTCATAAATTATTCAACTCATTAGTAACACCAAGAGGCATAAAAATAACATCAGTGTTAAGCATGTTTTCTTACAGAGAAAGGTCAGCTAAAAGTTTCAGTATTAAAATCCAAAGGCTTAAGTCTCTGAAAAGTAAGTACATCTAGATAAAATCCATGAATTATAACTTTAATGCATGCTGTTTTAAAATTCCATATATTAATTTTAATATATATGTGAAAAGTTAGAATTACTTATTTTAATTCTGCAAACACGACAACTTCAGTCTATTGTAATTTTTATGCAACCACTAAGTTTGATGCGTACCAGCTCTAAACACTCCTGAGCTTTAATTTTCCTGTATGTTGAATACACTAACAGGTGAGTAGCGTGAAATTCTATAGAAACAATCCAATATGAAACTATAACCACTTCAGTTTTTCCTGTTTCTTTTGGTTGTAGCTTTGTCTTGCAGGTTAGCTCTACTACCAGGCAGCTGTCACCTGCACTAAAATACTAGAACACAGAAACTACATAAATGGAGGCAATCTTTGCGACATGCTGAAACTGTTTAAGTGCAACTTGTATTATAGTCCTCATAAAAAAACCCCAAACCATTTCCAGCATCCTCTGAGTTCAATCGTATCCCAAAGATACAACGCTCTTGCTATACAGGCGTGAAACAAAGTCCATCTGAGTAAATGGAAAGCTCCTGTTATTTTAAAAAGAGGATAATATCAAGGCTTAAAACTTTATAATAGTTTATAAATCAGATTTCTTCCTGTTTTAATGCTACTTTAATATCCAAAATTAAAAATATTAATCAATAAGAATATTTTTAAGGGTTCTTATGCCTGTAGAATGCATAAAGCCCATGGTTTTGATGATTATTTGCCTTATAAAAGCAACACAGCAATTAGCAGAGTTTTGCATCTGCCTCTCATGAGATCTCTATTTTGATGTTTTGGAAGAATGTGGAGAAAATAACCCTTTGTCAAATATGCAATACTATATACTTCTGGGGGAAATATCTTCCTTAACCCAACTTATGAACAGTTTATGACCTGAAGTCCTGCACATGATAGCCTTCACGTTTAAATAAGTGTTAAATTACACTAGCTAGTATAACTGCACACACAGATATTCATTTATATGTCTAACCTTGTTTGAATCCCAGCTATTTGCCTCAACGACCTGCGAAGTTGGTGAAATGTGTAGGTCACACAGTTAGCTTATATCTATCATATTCAGAACTTCTGGTAACATTAGCCTTTGGCTACATATCAGCTGAAAGGTTCAACTTGCTTTGTGTATAATTACTTCCATTTTTTACTCCTAAATGCTAAAGAATCCCAGGATTTTTTTTTTCAGTACTATAGATTAAAAAAAAAAAAAGACAGGAAAACATCTTAATATTCTTTAAAAAATTCTGTCTTTGATATGTTAGAGAAGTACCCCAGCTTAAACCTGAGAAATAAATTTGCTTTAGACTTTCAGAGTACTCAGGTTCAGTCTGCTGTACAGAAGTCACTAAACATATGAAACTTTTAGATGGTATAAGGGAATTTGTAAGCATGTTCCTCCTTCCTCTTTTATACCCCAGCTACCTCTTCATGAAAATCAAACATCATCTAATCCTTAAGTTCCTAGACTGAAGCTTCTATGTAGTCAGTTCACTATTCAAATCACAAGTATCCTTATAATAATTATTCTAAACAAGTTCTTATACATTTTATGATTTGCAGAAAAAAATACTTTTGGCTGAGATTACAAATGCCAGGATAAAACTTCTGATTTTTTAAAAAACAGTTAATTGCTCATTCACGAAAGGTCTCCAATGGAACTATTACAACACATTAATTTGATGGCCTAACAGTTTCATTCTGTCACTCTGGAGAGACAAGTTCTGTTACTTTTACCAGTGTCTCAAAATTAGCATCTGGGAATGCTAGAGAGGTGTAATGCGAATCCCTTGGGGATCACAGAATTTAACAGCCCACAAGATCAAGTCTTCTGGTTCATTAAAGTGTAAGAATTGAAAGAATTCCTTTTCTAAGAATATGTTGTCCTAGAAATTCTCAGCACTGTCCTTAGAAAAGAAGGGACGCTATTCTCAGGGATTCATGGACATCAAGAATACCTCATGAGCTATATTTTTAAGCAGGAGTTAGTACTGACCATATTCCACAGCAGCTTTTAGGAGAGCATCAGAATGAGTAGACCCAAAAGCATTGCGAACAAATCGCCTCCGCCGGCGCAAATCGTCTTCCCAGTAATCCAAGCGCCAGAAGTCATGCAGTTGGCTATGAAATAGAGAACACACACATCAGCACCTACCACAGCTTGAACTGTATTTACATACATTTCACTGCTGCTTTTCTATTTCAGGAATACAATCTCGTAAAAACATATATTACTAAAACTTACAATATTCTAACATTTCTTTACATGCATTTATATATTATAAACCTCAGCAGTGCCTGTCTCAAAATGTTCTGCCTGCTGCTAAAAACATTAATCACACTGAGCCCATTAACAAATGCAGCATCAAATTACAAGTATTAATGGCATAGCTTGCTTTCTTTTACAGTGTTTTTAACAAGGCTTGTAAATCATAGAATGGACCTCAGTGCAAATAGTTTGCAATTTAATGACTATGGTCCCTTAGCAGACTGAACTTAGAAGTATAAAATATTGCCCACTTGAATTTTGTGGAACTATGATTAAACTAATGTGCTGAAATATTCATTGAAATAATTTCCTACTGCCCCTAGCAACCTGAGAAAATTGCAATTTTATTCATTATTAATAACACTGAATTAGAGCAGCAAAAAAATTCCACCATGTGGTAATTGTCTTGGTAAATTATTATTCCAGCACTAACAGAGTACTAGGATGATTTTATAGCTTCCAGCTGATACAAGCCATTAACAACCATGGCCATCTTTGCGTTACATTGCCTTTTTACATACAAAAGCAATATTAAAGTTCTGTAGAATGATATAAACTATTGTTAATCTATATTCAAGTCAAAACACACACATACATAATCATCTGGTACTCAACTTCAGTTCTAAAGAAATGACTAGCTCCACTTTCAGACAACTTCTTGATCTTATCAACACAAACATCTCCCACATCAATTTTATAAGTATGCTGTGGGATATTTGGGTAAAGCTGTATTTTAAGTCAACATTTAAAAAACTTTTTGGATCACTATCAAATACCCAAAATGTTTGTGGATGCATCCTTATTATCAAACTCGTAATTGAACACACTATACACGTAAAATGACTCTGCAGCTCCTAACCTTGCAGACCATAACTAGGGAGCCACTGCTTTAAACCAGTCATTTTCAATCTATCTGCAGAACCCTGGAGCTGCGTGGACAAAAGGCAGATGAAAAAAAAAAAAAAGTAGTTTTCAACTCACGGGTATGGGCTACATCTCTGCTGGATTTTTCTAGGTGTTAGTTCAGCCACTGTTTTCTATATTGCCTTCACTTTGAAAAGCTATGTGCTGGTAGCCATTTCCAGAGGAAATGTAGAAATATGCTAATGTAGAACAGACCTTTTCATTTTTACAGTCCACTTAACTACTTTTTTCATGATGGCATGAGTTCTTGTCCAACTTTACTAACTGCTGTCATGAGACCTGGATCAGTTCTGCAGGGCAGAGCACCAAGGGGAGTGGATGTAGCAGCATACCTTCTAGCCACTTACAAATTTTCAGAATCAGCACACCATCATTTTTAGTCAATGTATTTTTTTTGCATTCTGAATGAAATTTTCACTCTGTGCTTGAGTCTGCATGAAGGTCCTCATTGCTGCCTTGCAGAACAGGCATTTTACTTATCTACAAGCAGTGAGAAGGCAACTTCAGGAGTTCAGTGGGATCTGCTTCCTCACCTAGAGCAGTTCAGAGCATCTTGTGTAAAGGTGAGGCAGTGACTCTGAGCTCCCATGGTGGGAAGATGCAGTGTTAATGGCCTGGCCTGCATGCTATGAGACAGAAATATCTTGCTATCTTGAGTGCCAATTATCTTTTGTTAAGCAAAATAGCTTACTTGGGTTTTGTACTATGATACAGTTTTTGCTCACAGATGTTGTGTTAGCTTGAAGTATCAGTCCATCATTTCTCCTCCTACACTGAGCACTGAATAATTTTATTGCGACTGCTAAATCCCCCTGACCCTTATGGGATATGAATGCAAAAATGGGCAGACGACTGCCCCATAGTTTTAAAGGCAAAGCTTAGAGACTCCTTGCGCACTCCTAGTCTATGTTTTAAACTGATGATATCAAAGATAATCCTAAAGGCTTTTTATCATAGTGATTTTTTTGAAAAGAAAGAAACTTTCCTTTTTTACTTCCATCTAAGAGTAAGTCACGATGAAACAGGAGTAAAGATATTAATGAAAACTCTTTTAAACACAAGAGTTCTCTGAAATGGCATTTGTCTCCACAATAAAAAGATTAAAATTAAAAATTAAAAGACAGGTAGATGAGGTGCTTAGGGACATGGTTTAGTGGGCATGGTGGTGTTGTGTTGACGGTTGGACTCAATCTTGGAGGTCTCTTCCAACCTTAATGATTCTATGATTCTATTCTATGATTCTAATAACAATAAAAAAGACTGTTAGGTTGATAAGAATGATACAACTATGTAAGAATTAAAAACTTTTTATGAAATTAAGAAATATTCAAAGACTAAAAAAATTATATTTTTAATTTGTTCTGTGTTTAATCTGGTAACCCATTAATTTCATTAATCAGTCCGAAGAATACTGTATATTCTCAGCTGAAAATAAAACAGATTTTAAAGTCACTATTTTAATGAAGTGCTAATTGAAGAAGTGATGAAATTGTCAAAGGATAAAGTCTATTTTGGGGATCCAAAAAAAGCGTTACAAGTTCACCAGGGATCGAAGTCTGAAATACATAATAATGGTGCAAAATAAAAATTTTGAAATAATAGAACAGAAACCTTATTGCTAATCACAAATTATATGGTTTTTCAAAACACAACTGAAGTTTCTTCCCAGAGTTTTCTACAGAAATCTATCACACAACAATATTATATACTTCTGGATACTGGAAGATGGTATCTGAACCCTAAAGAAAAGGTTTCTGAATCTTAACCAGTTACTCTCAGATTTACCCTTGACTATTTGAGGAACATCTTTAATAAAAAGACAAGACATTTTCTCCTACCCTATTGTTAGCAAGAAAGCAGATGCCTGAAAAGCTGATGGCTGTACTTACAGAAAGTTTTGAATGGTTGAGTTTCATCACTTGCATTATAGACAGATAAATTTGTGGGATTTTCCTAAAAACTTATATTATTACATCTTTGGATTAGATTAAAAATACTAGTAAGTAGAAGACTGTGGTCACAAGCTCCAGCCTAAAACTAAGAATTTAACCTGCTTTAAAAGTCCAGAGCTATGGACTGAATCAGTATTAAGTTGTCTAGCCCCTAGATTACAGTACTTTAGAAATACTTATGTTCTAATCCTGTGGATATTATTCAGGCTTTAAAATTTTTGGGAATTTAGGTAGCTGTTAGGTAGCTCTAAATGATGGCTGTAAATCAAGCAGAACTACACTTTCTAACACTGTACTGGGCGCAAGTCAGTCCTAGAAGAGAGCGTGGCTGCAAATCGTTTACATCTCTTTCTGCTACAACCAGTTTTTCCTGGAAGCGATTTGACTAAATCAAGTCATTTTAGTAATTTATTTCTGCAACAAGTACAATATTTCAATAAGCTTTACTTTTCTTAATAATGTATATTATTAATAATCCTTATTTCCACAGCCAACTAGATTATATGTAATTTCTCATTCCCCCATATCTTATACCAGTTAAGTGACATTTTGAATCAGGCTTGTTTGAATGAAAAAGTGCATATTAAGCATACTGTAATGAATTTTTTTTTTTAAGAACTGAAAGTTCATAGCATCGTTCATGAGCTACTCCTACATACTTCAAAAAAGAAATGTATCTGTATCATTTTAACTGAACAGTTATTTAAAATGCACCCTAAAACACATGACCCAAAGAAGTCCGTACCATGAGTTTAACTGTCAAGATAATTTCCTTACAAACTGTAATATAATCCAATATAAACCTTTATCATCCTTATCATAATGAGGGCTGGTATGAAACTAGTGATACTACAAGGTTACAGACAATGAAAAATTTTATTTGGAGTGGTGTGCATGTTGTGAACTTAATCCCAAATTTCAGATGTGCAGTATTTCATATAGTTAATACAGACACAGAATGTTTTAATGGAACAAGCCCTATTTTACTACAGTTATTGAAGGATTACAAATTCTATTTCACTGTCATCATTGGTGCCTGTGTAGCAGCTTGCTGTGTACATTCTCCTACATTAAACAGTATTTTATCTTATTAAAGGCCAGCATGGGATGGAAAGGCAAAGTGTATTTATGCTACCCCATATAGCCAATGTGGACTTTGATAACTTAGAGCAAACAGCTTTGAAGTCTCCCAAGGGCAGGTTGCTCTAAATCTCAGAACTGCCCAGAATTCCGTAAAATACTCTTTGCTACCATACCACACACACCTTCCATGTGTTTGGGGTCAAAGATTATTGAGACAGACTAAAGTATTTCAGGTAGCCCAATCTATTACCTTCTTGGAGGAGAAATTGCGTAGCTCTGACACCAAAACAATTTAGACTAATATCAAGCCAGCCCGAACAGCAAAGTCCTCCCTGTCTTTTCACAACATCTCTATAGCTCAGACTTCTCAAAGACAACTTTTGAAAAGATTTTCTATGAACTCCTTCAGCCACAGCTCCAAAGAAGTGTATGGGAAGGTTTTTTTCTTTTATTTATGAATATTAGCTGTCCTAAACAGCAAGCTTTTGCCCACCCTGTGGGCAGTCAGCGTCCATGACAGCAGCTCCATGGCGGTGAAACCCAGTCCCTGTTCACGTACAAATGCAGTTTGCTGTACGTCACCTACAGCTACAGCAACTAGAGGCAAATACAAACAGTGGAGAATAGCGGTCCACATGTCCATAAAAGATCCTCAGACTGCAGCCCAAAGGATGGGCTGCCAGATGGAAGAGATTAAGTTCGAATATGTTAATGAAAGAGGAACAAGCCTGCAGGCATGGGGGAAGGGGAAAAAGTTGTTTGGAAAAAGAAGTGGGTCACAGAACTGGAAGGATGTCAGAGAATCCATAATCTTTGTAATACTGGGAAACTGCTTAGAAAAGGCAAGGAATTGATGATCCATAATTTCAAGAATTAGTCCTGGTTGGTTTTCT